GTGTTTTTTTATACATTTTATAGTAATCCAATCTTCAATTGTTTGTTTCTGTGTTCTGTGTTCACTCAATCAATTTTATTTGGTCTCTTAATACACAATGAATGGTGACACGACTTTGTGTCTACTGCGTGCCATATTCCATTTAATCTTCATTGACTGAATGGAAGTTTGGTTATTTTTAACTCCTGATTGTTCCAGAGGAATCATTCTTACTGCAGTAGACCAAAAACTTCTATTTGTGTTTTGTGCATTATGGTTTAATTGCTTATCAGGTTGTTTTTTGCCTTTTAGGTTGAGAGAACATCTGTAAGTTTGCCAAGAAGGGTCTGACACCCTCTCAAATTGGTGTTATTCTTCGTGATTCTCACGGTATTGCTCAGGTGAAGAGTGTCACTGGCAGCAAGATCTTGCGTATTCTGAAGGCTCATGGTGCGTATCTTGAATTTATTTTCATAATAACATCTTTATTCGTAGGAGAAATTTTGAAAATGATATCTTATACTTTCTTTTGGTGTGTTAGGTCTTGCCCCTGAAATTCCTGAGGATCTTTACCACCTGATCAAGAAGGCTGTCTCAATCAGGAAGCATTTGGAGAGGAACAGGAAGGACAAGGATTCTAAATTTAGACTGATTCTGGTTGAGAGCAGAATCCATCGCCTTGCTCGTTACTACAAGAAGACAAAGAAGCTTCCACCAGTCTGGAAGTAGTAAGTACCTTTTTGGTTTTAGATTTTTTTTTTTTTTTTTTTTTTTTGTATTCCATTTTAAGTAATCAAAGATTTCATTAATCTTACTTGAAGATACGCAGATGGGTCATTGCGTTCAAAACACTTCAGAATTTTATCAGAATAGTTGAGTAATAAACACTGCCATAGGTCAGCTAAATCAAACTTTGGATATGGGGCCCAGCAGTTTAATCTTTGATACGGTTTTACAAATCTTGGATTTAGTTCATGTATTCTATAAGTAATAAACCACTGCCCTAACCAAATTCTGTACTGTATTATGTAAACTAATCGTTTTCTGGTGTTCTTACGTATCCAAAATTGGAATACCTTATTAAAAGTGGTAATCTAATATTTGTTCCCTTGAAGAAAGAAATTTGAGTCATGTCAAGTGTTGGTTTTCCTCCTAATTCATACTTATGCTTGTTATACAAGTAATAAATCATTGTTAGGCTGAAGCGGGCCTCACGAAGAAATTGTTGTTGTTCCGTGTCTTCTACTATAAGTTTACATCTCATCTGTCGTGTCATTTGCAATGAAAATTTAGCGGCTACCTTGAATGCTTACTCCTTTGTTCTGGTCTTTGCAGTGAATCGACCACCGCCAGCACTCTTGTGGCTTAGGAAGGATATGATTGGCAACAGTTTTGGGTGCTCCTGTTAATGTACTTTTTAAGAGAGTAGTACTTAAGCTTTAATGTCTTATTTTCTTTCATTTGCTTCAAGTTGGATGACTTAATTCAGAATCCTGTGGAACACTCCTTCGTTGCGATGCGCGTTTTGGATATTTTTCTCATATTCATCTGCATAATTGTGCTATTTCTCGTGTTCGTTTAGTTTTCCATAGGGAGGTGATTTTGGTCACACCATATATGAGTAATCAAACAAAAGCGATCAGAGTTCTCTGCCTACACTTAGGGTTTCATCAATCTTCGGGTGTTACTTTTTAAAGAGTAAACTTTGGTTCGGCATCTGGATGCAGTGTTAAATGAGCAAGGAGGTCATAGAAACTTCTTTTTGAACGACTCCACTCAAGTTGTTTGGGAGCATATGTTCCTATCAACTTAACACATGACACACAAAAGAAGTACTTTGATCCTATTAGATGAGGGGAGGGTGAAGAAGCTAGGACAGAAGGGTAGAGAGTTCAAGAGAGCAAAATGCGTTTAGGAACGTGGAATATAGGAACCTTAACGGGAAAAATCTATGGAAGTAGTGGAAGTTATGGTGAGGAGAAGGATAAATATTATGTGCCTACAAGAAACTAAGTGGGTTGGTAGTAAGGCAAAGGATCTAGAAAACTCAGGGTTTAAACTTTGGTATTCGGGCACAAAAAAAAACGAGAAACGGTGTTTGGCATCATCGTGGACAAGACCTTGACACAAGATGTTGTAGATGTCAAGAGGGTAGGAGATAGAATCATGGCAATCAAGATTGTAATAGGACAAGAACTTATCAATGTGATTAGTGCGTACGCACCTCAAGTAGGGTTGGATACGAGTTCGAAGGAGAAATTTTGGGAAGACCTTGGAGACTTGGTGCAAGGAATTGCTCAGACGGAGAAGTTATTTATAGGAGGAGATTTAAATGGACACGTGGGCAGGGAGACAGGCAACTATGGAGGTTTTCATGGTGGCCATGGTTTTGGGGAGAGAAACGAGGATGGGGAAGCTATCTTGGATTTTGCAATGGCATATGATCTCTTCTTAGCCAACACCTTCTTTAAGAAGAGAGAAGAACATGTGATCACCTACAAGAGTGGGTCGTCAAAAACACAAATAGATTTTCTTCTAATGAGGAAAGGGGATCGTATAACTTGTAAGGATTGCAAAGTTATACCAGGAGAGAGCGTGGCTAATCAACATCGCTTGTTGGTGATGGATGTACATATCAAAAGAGTGAGAAAAAGAACAAGACTTGGAAGTGCCCAAGGACTAGATGGTGGAATCTAAAAGAAGAAAAACAAGTCCATTTTCAAAGAGAAAGTAATCACCCAATGTGTGTGGGATATAGAGAGGGGGAAGCTAGCCAAATGTGGGATTCCATGGCTAGTTGTATCCGAAAAGTAGCAAAAGAGGTATTAGGAGAGTCCAAGGGCTTTGCCCCACACCAAAAGGAATCTTGGTGGTGGAATGAGGAGGTACAAACAAAGGTGAAGGCTAAGAAGGAATGTTGTAAAGCCTTATACAAGGATAGGACCGATGAAAATGGTGAAAGGTATAGAAAAGCGAAGCAAGAGGCGAAGAAAGCTGTGAGAGAAGCTAAGTTAGCGGCTTATGACGATATGTATAAGCGACTAGATACCAAAGAAGGAGAGTTGGATATCTATAAACTAGCTAGAGCAAGGGAAAAGAAGACAAGGGACCTAAACCAAGTGAGGTGCATCAAGGATGAGGATGGAAAAGTTCTTGCTACAGAGAACGCGGTTAAAGACAGATGGAAAGGTTATTTTCATAATCTTTTCAATGAAGGACATGAAAGGAGTGCTTCTTTAGGGGAGTTGAGTAACTCAGAAGAGTGTAGAAACTACTCTTTTTATCGTCGAATCCGGAAGGAAGAAGTGGTTGTAGCTTTGAAGAAGATGAAGCATAGAAAAGCAGTAGGCCCAGACGATATACCAATCGAAGTGTGGAAAGTTTTGGGAGAGACAGGTATAACATGGCTCACTGACCTTTTCAATAGGATTTTGAAAACGAAGAAGATGCCAAATGAGTGGCGAACGAGCACTTTGGTGCCTATCTACAAGAATAAGGGCGACGTACAAAATTGCATGAACTATAGGGGTATTAAGCTAATGAGTCATACAATGAAGCTCTGGGAGAGAGTCATTGAGCATAGATTGAGGCAAGAGACACGGGTTTCGGACAACCAATTCGGGTTCATGCCAGGGCGCTCAACCATGGAGGCAATCTATCTCTTACGAAGATTGATGGAAAGATATAGAGATGGGAAAAAGGATTTACACATGGTCTTTATAGATTTGGAAAAAGCGTATGATAGGGTCCCAAGAGACATTCTTTGGAGGATTTTAGAGAAGAAAGGAGTACGAGTAGCATATATCCAAGCTATAAAGGATATGTATGAAGGAGCAAAGACTGCCGTAAGAACTCATGAAGGACAAACCGAAAGCTTTCCCATAACTGTAGGATTACATCAAGGCTCATCCTTAAGTCCTTACCTTTTTGCGTTGGTAATGGATGAGTTAACAGGACATATTCAAGATGATATTCCTTGGTGTATGCTTTTCGCAGACGATATAGTGTTGATAGATGAAACTCAGGAAGGGGTAAATGCAAAGCTTAACCTTTGGAGAGAAGTGTTGGAATCTAAAGGTCTTCGCCTAAGCCGATCAAAGACAGAATATATGGAGTGCAAGTTCAGTGCAAATGGAGGCCAAAACGAGTTAGGGGTGAGGATCGGAGATCAAGAAATACCAAAGAGCGACCGTTTTCGTTACCTAGGATCTATCTTGCAAAAGAACGGAGAATTAGATGGAGATCTCAACCATAGAATACAAGCTGGATGGATGAAGTGGAAGAGTGCATCCGGCGTGTTGTGTGACCGCCGTATGCCACTGAAGCTCAAGGGAAAATTTTATAGGACGGCAATAAGGCTAGCAATGCTGTATGGCACATAATGTTGGGGGGTGAAGCATCAACACGAGAAATGATAAGATTAGGAATGAGGATATTCGGGGTAAAGTAGGAGTAGCCGAAATTGAAGGAAAGATGAGAGAAAATCGGTTACGGTGGTTTGGACATGTGCAAAGAAGGCCTACTGACGCTCCGATTAGAAGATGCGACTATGGGACAGAGGTTCAGGGCCGAAGGGGTAGAGGAAGACCTAGGAAAACTTTGGAAGAGACTCTAAGAAAAGACTTAGAGTACTTGGATCTAACGGAGGATATGACACAAAACCGAGCACAATAGCGTTCTAGGATTCATATAGCCGACCCCACTTAGTGGGAAAAGACTTTGTTGTTGTTGTTGTTTCAATTTACCCTTTATTATTTAATCCACGTTAATCACTATTTTTTCCATGCTATATAATTAGCTTGTATTGTCTTTAGTGTAACGTAAGAGAGATGGATGATTTTTTTACTTTTTGTTGACAACACGCATGATACTTAACCGCGATATTTTGATTTCATTCCTTTACAATCTCATGAGCAAATGTGAGATTTGTGGATGCTTAAAATATATTAAGAAATATCTCCTATTCCTCAACTTTTTCAAATTTTTTAAAATAAATTTCTAATTGAATACAATTTTAAATTATTTTAAAATTCGAATTGAATACATTTTGAATCGCTTAAAATTCTGATTGAACATACTTTGAATTGTAAATAATCACTTAAAATCCTATTTAAATATCCCTAAGTCTATTATAAGAATTAAAATCTCCTAAATTTTCAATCGGATGCACCCTCCTAAGTATTTAATTCACTAACGCAACAGCTCAAAAAAATAAAATAAAATAAAAAATTGTTGACAAGAAACTCTCTTAATACAATACTTTCTTTTTTTTGGCGGGAAGGAGGATATGAACTCCGAGTCCAACTGGGTTTTGGAGTTTATCTGGTATAAATAGCTGGGATTAGGACTTAGGAAACTGCAAACCCTAGTTCCCCAATTTCCTCTAGATTTTCCCGCCGTATCCAAACATGAGGCCGATACTGATGAAGGGGCACGAGAGGCCCTTGACCTTCCTCAAGTACAACAGGGACGGCGACCTCCTCTTCTCTTGCGCCAAGGATCACAAACCCACCGTCTGGTTCGCCGACAATGGCGAGCACCTCGGCACCTACCGCGGCCACAATGGCGCCGTTTGGTGCTGCGACGTTTCCCGGGACTCCTCCCGCCTCATCACTGGCAGCGCTGATCAGACCGCCAAGCTCTGGGACGTTCAGACCGGCCGACTGCTCTTCACCTTCAACTTTGACTCCCCGGCCAGGGCTGTTGACTTATCCGTCGGGGATCGGCTGGCTGTTATCACCACCGACCCCTTCATGGGGGTCACTTCCGCGATTCACGTCAAGCGCATTGACAGAGACCCCGAAGATCGTAACAATAATCTCCTCTTATTTGCCTTGCCCTGTTTTTAGTTTATACAACGAAATTGAATACGATGTTTATTCTTACAACTTAAGCTAAACTAATTCGAATGCAATTTTGAATGAAGACTTCGTATTTAACATTTTATTTTCTACTTATTGTCTCGACAAGCTAAGTTTGAAATGAAGACTTCGTATTTGACATTTTATTTTATTCTCAATTGGAATACTTTGGATGCGGTCCCTAGCTATCAATATTCTTTGATTGAAACCTTGTTAGTTTTTAGTTTTTGATTGAGGTCCCTGACATTAATGTAATAATGTAAGTTACTATATTTTTTAAATTAAAAATTAAAAATTGAAATTTGTAATTGTTTATATTAATGAGATTTTAAATAAAACCCATAATTTATGGGATTAAAAATAATAAAATATAAATTATACTCTCTATTATATTGTGTGTGTATACATATATGTATGGGTACATTAACCAAAATTAACAAAAAAAGTTATTGTACCAAGACATGGATACATTCTCAAATCAATGAAAAAGAATGTACCCATATAAGTTTAAACATGGATTAAAAAATTTGAATGGATTTTATATTAAAAAAAGGGTACATTTTACATATAACAAATTGATATATATGAGAATGGGTACATTGATAAAAGGTCGTACCCAGTGCACAAGGCTCCCGCTTTACGCAGGGTCTGTGAGTGAGAATGGGTACATTGATGATTAAAAAAATTGAAAAATTATATGAATGGGTACATTTAAGATTAAAAAATTGAGAATCTTTATATATATATAACTAATAGGTACAAACTTAATTTAATTTAATTTTTTATTATTTGAAAATGTTTGAATTGAAAATTAATTAGAAGTTTAATAGAAGTGTGAGTATTAAACCCTAAATTAATTACTAATTTTTATATTAAAAAATTATATAATAAACATGTAAACTCATTATCACATTAATGCTAGGGACTTGAATCAAAATTTGAGAACTAATAAGGTCTTAGTAAATGAACAGTAAGAACTAGGGACCGGATACTAACTTTTCCTTCTCAATTTCCTTTGGATCTTGGGGCATTTAATCTTCATTTACCCTTGTTCATATCAACGGGCGTATAGCTTAGTTGATTATAGGCGTTCACCCTTTGCATTTAAGGTCCCAAGCAATGATTCCCTCCTCTCACAATATTGCTTGTACAAAATAAAAAATGTTCATACGGTTAATTGGAAAAGAGTAATGTGTTTATAAGCAACATTCAAGTAGGCTCATATATTCATCTGGCTATGCCATCTTCCCACTTCACTGGCTATGAACAATATAGCTTCTATTCTGCTACGTCATCCACAGCTGCACATTTACGAAGCAATTCACTATGGCTTACGAGCATCTCCGAAGGAACCCCAGTTCACCGGTTCTAAAACACTTGAGTAGACGATTGTATTTATATAGTTTGCCTTGCTCTCCGACCTCCACTTCTCGCTCTGTCTTGTTTTCTTCCAAAAAACGAAAAACGCTCAAGTCCAGTTATTCTTTCGCTCTTTTTGGTTCTCAGCTTTTTCCGTCGTTTGCTTAAATCCAAATTTCTAAGCAGATCTATGTGAATTTTGTAAGTTATTTATTTACAAGTTCAGGTCGGTGCCGTTTCTTATTGTTGGCGAAGTGAATTTTGTAGGGGGAGGAGTCGCAGAAGGTGGGATAGAGACGAAGGAGGGGGACCTGGGTTGTCAGTGGAGGGAGGTGCTGCTGGTGGAGCAGTTGTTGATCTCAGTCTTCTTGGATTCGGGTTTGTTGGGGAGTTTGGGTGTGGTGGTTGGGTGAAAATTGAGGGTTTGATTCCTGTGGAGACGTGGGTTCTGGATGTGGTGGGTGGGTGAAAATGGCGGTTTGGGGAAATAGGGGTACTAAAACAGAGGAAGGAAAGAAGAATGTGGTGGGTGGGTGAAAAGGGCGCGCGCATAAGAAAAAGGAGAGTTTTTTCCAATTTAGAAGATTTCTTTTATGTGGTTGGATCATAAGTGTAGCTGGATAATTCGGTTGTCTTCTGATTTTGGGGAAATGGTGATTTTTCATTTTTGCATTGTTGCCCCGTGTATAGAGCTGAGATTTCGGATTTAGTCAAATTAGGCGCTCAATCAATTGATATAATGCCATTTACTTGCCGTTTTATTTATTCTTTACCTTTTGTTATTGTGATGAAATTCGGTAACTCATTCTTATTGGGCGGTTATATTTTTCTCTTAATTTTGTTTGACATTATTACTTGATCAAAGACAGCACTGTTTATACTCAAAAACTGATTAAATAAACAGTGTAAATAATAGTTGTTTTTAATTTAAGAGCGGTGGGTTGCAAGGTAGATATAAATGTGGGATAAAATTGAAGTGGCAATGGTGGGAAAAAGATTTATAATTTGTGGTAGAAAAACATAAGAAAGATAGAAGAGTGTAAGACAAGAACGGATTGACCTCATCTGGATTTTTTTTTTATAATTAATTCAGGACTTGCATGGTAATTTGTGTTGCATTTAAGGAATTTTGTGTATTATGATCTGACACACCCTGACCCGGAATGTCCATTAGGATCCCGAATCGAGCCGTGTTGGCCAACACCTAGAAGGTGACGAAGCCATAAAGTGTGATAATGTATAAAATGTGAATAAATTAAAATCTAAAAATTCCTAAGTACACGAGTGCGCGGTGAGCGAGTCTAGACCCATTTCACACGTGATACAGAGCATAAGTAAAGTACAGTAAGGTAAGATAATGATTATACCATCAAAAGAAGCCACCTACACTGGGAAGTGCCACAAATCCTCGTCGATACGGAACTCTGCTGCTAGTACCTGGAGGGGTACAAAAACATAAAATGTGAGTGAGTGAAACAAAACTCTTCAAACCAATTCCAACTACCAAGATAGTAGCACCTCGCCGCAATACCTGTTTAATTTCCCAGAAAATAATAGGCGTGACTATAAATCAAAACCATAACCAAAATGATAGTCTTACGGTTATGCTACGTCAAATATCTTAACACGAATGAGTAACCCAGGTGAAATAAACCAATAGGAAATGGCATGTTAGCCGGATCCACCCATCATGTACGGTTGAATCAATATCTCATCTCATATATGCTAGCATCTCATCACATATCTCATCATAAATATATGCTAGCATTTCATCACATATCTCATCATAAATATATGCTAGCATCTCATCATATATCATCACATATATGCTAGCATCTCATCACATATAGGCTAGCATCTCATTATATATTTCATCAAATATATGCTAGCATCTCATCATATATCATCACATATATGCTAGCATCTCATCACATATAGGCTAGCATCTCATTACATATTTCATCACATATAGGCTAGCATCTCATTGCATATCTCATCATAAATATATGCTAGCATCTCATCATATATCATCACATATATGGTAGCATCTCATCACATATAGGCTAGCATCTCATTACATATCTCATCATAAATATATGCTAGCATCTCATCATATCATCACATATATGCTAGCATCTCATCACATATAGGCTAGCATCTCATTACATATCTCATCATAAATATATGCTAGCATCTCATCATATATCATCACATATATGCTAACATCTCATCATATATAGGCTAGCATCTCATTACATGTTTCATCACATATAAGCTAGCATCTCATTACATATCTCATCATAAATATATGCTAGCATCTCATTACATATATGCTAACTCATAAGTCGGAGTCACCTCTAGTGACATGTACGACTTATTCATATCTCATCACATATCTCATCAATCATGGTTAACATATAAGTCGAAGTCACCCATAATGACCTGTACGACTTATCCATATCTCATCACATACTCATTACCATCACTATCATCAACATGTACTCACCTAAAGCTTACATGGGCATCCGCAGCATCATTTGGCACTTGGAAGCATTCACAATAATTAGGTACAAGTAATACACATATAAATATGTCATGATGCAATCTAAAACTCAACTATAATATAGTATTTTCAAGTATATATATAACATGGCGTGAAATGCATAATCTGTAACATCCCATTTCCAAACTATTTATTTTCGGGAATAATTATTGGTGTGTTGACCCTAAAAACTACCAAGCCTACGTGGCACGCAGGCCAAGTAATCTATGAGTTAACTACTTCCTTCGGTTAAATGCGGGGCATGCCAACTCGTCGGCCGAGCTTGGCCGAGGAGTAAATTTGTTGATGTTGCATTGGGTGCGCTATTGACTTCTGAATCTCGCGATTGCGGCTGAGGAAGGAACACTCTCGGCCTTCAGGTTCTAGAGCCTGAAGACAAGGCTGTTAGTTCTGCGAAGTTCAATATCAAATTCGGCTTTCAATGTGCCGAATGTAATAACTTGTAACACCTCACTTCGCCAAGAAGGCTAATGAGATGGCCTCGACCAATAAGGATTCGAAAATCCTTCTCGACCGAGACTTGGATAGATAACTAACCATCCTCGACGCAGTGTTGTTGATGCCAACGGAAAATGCTGCAAGATCGGCTGATTCTACGACGACAGAGCTATCTATGCCGACTGAAGATATCACCGGTTGCTTTCATAGTGTTGTTGATGCCAAAGGAAGATGTGTCAGCGAAACGAGAAAATAAAAAATCTCAAAGTTGTTGAGAGAGTTTGCGCAGGGCAGTTGTGTGTTGAATTGGAGGTCCTTTTTTCAGCGTTCAAAGCCTTGTATTTATAGAATTCGTAGTGCTCAGTCGCCGAAATGGATTTTCCAGTTCCACTCTAACTCTTCTACATCCAGATATTGTGATCAAAACCCTTTGATAATATCACTTTGCCTTAGTCAAAATGTCAATGCCGTGCTCCAATTTGTATCATTATCTTAACATATTAATTGGAAAGATAATTAATTGGAAAGACATTTCACTTCCCAAAACAATCACCTTACTTTTCTCCAGAATCCGTATCCCCTCCACGTTGCAGATGCCTATCCAATTTCCAATTCGAATTCATCCCATCTGCAAGTTCCCTATGCATACATGAAGACCACGTATCCCAATAATTTTGATCAAATTGTATTGCCACCTTATCACCACCACGTGTAAAATATTTTCCCATAGCTGACATCCATAACCTAACCTTATTAGGTTTCCTATTCACCATTATCTTCGGCTTGCAGATCCACGTTAGGCCACGTGAAGAGTCCAAGAATCTGTATAATTTATTTTGTATAAAAAAATTAAGATAATTGATTAAAAGATAATTATTATGATTAAGAACCATCATATTATCTCTTAACAATAGCAAATTATCTTAACTTTCTTATCCGACGATTAAGAACCATGTTTACTCAACGGCCTCGATTGCTTGGGCCGATGGCGTAAAATCGGGTCCAAACATGGTGATAAGCCCAATTAAACACTAGTTTAATTAACTAACATTACTTATGTTTCCTTACTTCAATTCCTTGATTCTTCACACATTGATTTATGAACAACAATTAACTACCAAATCATAAGGCTAATTCTCACATTTTTCACCAATGTCCCTCACATTGTTCAATTCCCCAAACAAGGCTATTGTCCCAATTATTTAGTCTCATTTATTATATGGCTGCATCTAACGTCTTGTTAGACTGCCTACGTACCCTAAACAGGGATCAAGTCATTCGTAGTTCACAATAGTACTTCAAAGCATTCACAATAATTATACGCAATAAGCAATTTTATAAACGTTGTGGAATTGTCACACACACACACACACACACACACACACACACACACACACACACATATATATATATATATATATATATATAATGTACGATAAAAAGGAAAAGACCCACTTACCTGAGGTCTGCGCTACGACTACCTAGCACACATATCGAGACATCATGAACCATCGTCGCCTATGACCAATTATCAATTCACATTTCAAAGTTCTTACCAATAGAATACATAATTTACATAAAACACATTGCTATGTAATTCAATTTGGAAGATCCGCATCACAGATTTCAGATCCATTGCTTCCAAAGATCCATCCACATTATACTTCTAGAACAACATTCTAAAGTTTCATTATGATCCAACGGTCGGATCTCTGCCAATTGCCAAAACCAAGTGGCGGCAACATCTTATTTTATGAACTTACAATTCCAATTCAGGAAGATCCGTATATTAGATTCTCGATCCGTAAATTCCTATGATCTTCAAATATTATGTATTATAACATATTAAAGTTTGGTGACAATCCAACGGTCGGATCATCGATTCATATTTTTACCAAGTAACATATCATAAGGAATTTAGGTTCAACTAATCAACCAATGTCATACTAACATCAAAACTGAACTCAAGACATCTGATTTAGCCTAAAAATAATATCGAAGGCCTTCTAGCCACGCACGCGCCGCCGTGGGTGGCGGTCGATCGTCCTGACTCGCCGGAAAAATCAACTATTTCTAAAAATTCTCAAACTTCACAGAAATGAAGATCTCATTGAGTGGAACAACTTTTATACCTGTGACTAAGGCTAATTTGGTCGTGAAGAGCTCCAATTTTACTCAAATCCGCCAAAAACCCTAGAATGGGTGTTCTTCGATTCTCCTTTCTCGGCGTTCCAACGTCCCTACAACCATTTGGGTCCTGTTCCTGGGTCCAAGGGGAGTTGATTAAGGGTGGTAATGGGTGGTGAAACTTGTCGGAAATGAGGAATCGCCGTTGAGCAGCTCCGGTGCTCCGGTGAAATTCCTCTCGGGTTAGGACCTAAAAACCCTTAAATATAGATGGAGATGGTAGAGGGAAGGGTGTGGAAGAGGTTGTAGGTGATGAAGGGGTGAAACTTGCTTGAAAAATGGCGGAGGACCGCCGAAAATCCACCCCGGTCGAAGCCGAGTTTTCTGTATATGTATGGCTACGTGAAGAGGAAGGGAAAGCTGAGAGCTTTCCTCTCTCCTCTCCTAATTGGTTGAAAATTATTATTTTATTCTTTTCTCATCTAATTGGTCCCTATTTTCTATCCTTGAGGCTGATTGGTTTCTTTCCCACAAGGTGGGAGTTCAATAATTTAGTAATATGAAATGTAAGTAACCAATTTCAAATGTCCGTAACTATACCATTATAATCCGGACTCACAAACGGCTTTTGTCTATGCGTTCGTACCATCGAGTACTACGCAAATACGCCAAAAGCATAAGTCATACGTTATTCTAGACGATGGTCAACAGAAATCAAAATCCTTGCCTCTAGACATTGTGTCAATTCCCTCGATTAAAAATAAATAATAAAAAAAATGAAATTTTAGGAACGGGTTGTCACATGATCTGTGAGTTTTATTACTCATCGTTTTTTTTTCATCTGTTTGTTTTGCAGGTTGTCTTTGTGTTAGAATTGCAACAGTGTATGCAACTTTTCAATCTTTAAACTGTTTCAGGGTAAGATTTAGATAAAAAAATAGTTGGCTGAAAATTTGAAAGAATGTGTTGGCTTTGTTTTTGTTGAACCAATTTGAAAGCTGTGTGTAGGTCAATAGTTTGAATGTTTTTTCAAGTTTTAAACAAGCGTTTGTTTTCTTTTTTGTTAACTAATTTGAAAGTTGTGCATAGACGGTCAACTGTGGCCAGATCTATTGATAAACATATCCACCGAATTGGAAATATAAAATTGTCAAAAATGAACAAAATTGGTTTATAATGGCAAAATATTTTCCAAAATAGTAGAATGTGAACAAATATATAATAAAGAGCAAGTAGAAAAACGATACTTACCAATATTGACAATGGATTGTTTGGAGAAAATGTTATACATGATATTTTTATTGCCTCTATTTGTATCTTGAATTTTGTAATAGGGATATATAAAGATGTGATTGTCCTATATATATTTTGGTAAATCATTTTTGTTATGTCCTTCTGTTGTCATGCTTGCTCTGGATTCTACAGGTTTTTTTCAAGTTTATTTGGTTGCTGGAAAAAAAACTGTGAAATGAAGGGCTTCAGAGTTTGATCATTTGTGCCTCAAATTTGGTAAGGTTTCTTTCCCCTATATAATTTTGATTGGTACTTACAGATTTTCATCATAAATTATTGTATTCTCTTGCAATTTTTTACGCTTATGTAAACTTCACTAGATAACTCAATTTCAATTAGAAAAAGAGGAAGAGAAGAACTGGATTCAGCTAGCAATAAAGCAATTGGAAGCAAATAGAGTTCTTTGATTAATAAACTCGTAGAGTTAAAAATTGTCTTACCTCCAAAAACTGAATACATCTCCCGCTTCCAGCAAACTTATAGGGAACTTTGTTATCATATGTTTGAAATCACCTATATAGGTCAATAAACTTTTAATAACACATGATTGATATTGGTATATAGACCCAACATCTTTAGCTAATGTTATAGTTTTAGACATAAAAATTGATTGTACATATCAGTTTTAAATCTTTCAACCATGTCATTCAACACATGCCACAAACTGTCATTATTTTTAAACTCTATGCAAAGGAATTTACATACAACCCAATGGTCCAAATTTTCCATCTTCCCTACAACAATTACCCGTAAGCATCCATATCCAGTTCAAATTTTGATCCTTTAGATCAAAATTTTAACCTTTAATTATTGACATTGCTTAATTTAGTTGTAATTTAAAGTTCTGATTTTTTCAGTTTTTGTTATTTCCTTTACAAAACAGCTTTGATCTTCCATAGGACTACTTTGTCAGGCTTCCAAAAGATCTCCGTCTCGGTGTGAGTAGGGTTTTTTCGATCTGTATGAATTCCCCAACCATCTTTTAGACCGTTATGCCTACATGTTTGTTCCTTGCTATAAATATGATGAACACATAAAAATATCTGTAGAACTTTTTACAAATTTTATACACTTTTAAAACCTTCAGCAATGCACAGGCACAATTACTATTTTCTCCATAACACAAATGCCTTTGTGAATCGCACGATAGTAATCAGAATGAGGCTGAAATGCCTATGTAGTCTTATTGGCCTCCGAAAGAATGACCTGTCATAACAAAAGCTACATGCTGGTCTTCTTTTTTTTTCCTTAATATGTTAAAAAAATGTCAAAGTGTGGGGTTTTACCTTATCCTTCAGATCACTTGTTTTACGTTAGTTTAGGACATTTAGGTCAAATTCCTTGTGGGATAATCTTGCCTTCATCATCATTCCAGCTCTCTCGGACTCTCGGGGCTTCGCAAAATCTCGTAACATTCACGTCTGTCACCGCTACGCTACTACCGCTCCTTCCAGTAGCCCTAAATCTCCTCCAGATGGAGGTAGTTCCAGAAGGTCTTCCCCCTCCCATTTCCTCTCCTATCCTGTTTGGTTGCTGAGAAAATGGGGAACGAGTTCAGATTAAACAAAATCAGAATTGTGACTTTCCATTGTTTTCTGAGAAATTTATTCGACTTTTTCATTGTTTCAATCAATTCACCATTTTTTGGGGAATTTCTCGATAAAAGTTGGGAAAATTTTATTTTTTTCCCATTTAACGGCAGAGGAATAATGGAGTTTGTGCTTACCTATAACAATACTGTGAAAGTCTGATTGTGTATTTTTGTGGGCAGCTGTGGAGGAGGAAGAGATTGGGAGGTGAAAAGTCATAGAGAAACATCGAGGGGACGCGGTGGCGGCGGAGGTGGTGGCTCCGGCAAAGATAAAATTGACGCACTTGGTAGATTATTGTAAGCACTACACTAGCCTATCTGTTAATTATTTGTTAATTATTGTTAGGGTAATGCAGCTTAATGGCATAGTTTATATAAACTCTAGCCTCTCTGTTACTTTTTTAGGACGCGTATATTGCGCCATATGGCGGGTGAGTTGAGTTTGAATATGCGAAGCGATGGATATGTGAAGGTTAATGATCTGTTAAAGCTAAACATGAAGACATTTGCTAATATTCCGTTGAGATCACATACTATTGATGAGATTAAGGAGGTTAGTGATCAGTTCTTGATAGTCCTTTATTTGTTAAATGAACTGCGTAAGGAGGATGCTTAATTATGTTCTGCATCTTGTTAGGCTGTCAGAAAGGATAATAAGCAGCGCTTCGGCCTCTTGGAAGAAAATGGGGAACTTTTGATACGTGCAAACCAAGGCCACACAACAACGGTAATTTATCTTTCATTTATCTTGAATATCTGTTTTGAGTCGCTTCATGGAGATGCAAGACTTTTTGTTAATTGCTTGAATTGTCAACTGTTTCCATAGAGTACTGTTTTACTGCTTTAGTCGCACACTATCCAAGTAGTTTTTGTCTGTGTAATCTTGTGAAATCACAGCAAGGTATTAACTCGTTTCTCTTTGCATAATCTTGTGAAAGCACAGCCAGGTTAGAGTCTTTCTGTAAGTGGAATCTTTGTTAAGACTTGAAAATTTGGTGAAGCTGGAGAATTGTTTCCTTACGCTCTAAGACTGGATGTCCTTTCATTATTTTTTCTTGAGCTCTGAGTTTCAGATCATTACGTAGATACTTATGGAATACTTAACAAATCAGAATTTAGTTCTCCAGTTTATTTGTGCTGTGCATTTATAGATTATGGATCCACCTAAAATGCTAGCTTAAGAATGGCATTGTATTTACCATTTTTTGCGTTGTGCATTTTTGGATTGAGCATCCATCTATACTTGATGGCTTTAAACATTATATTTTAATATCTGCTCTGCGTGTATATTGACAGATAGTTGAATCTGAAAGATTGTTGATGCCAATCCTTTCATCTGAAGAAGTTCCAGGTTTATCTTTTAGTGTGCAATCTTATTGTGTTCTTAGCACATAATTTCTCAGTCCAGAATGAAGAGTTGTGTGCGTTTCTATGGAAACTGTACCTCTTTGTTTGTTTCACTGCTTTTCTTTCCCTTTGATTTGCAGTGTGCGTGCATGGGACCTACAGGAAGAATTTGGAATCGATATTAGGCTCCGGTCTAAAGACAATGAAAAGATTGCATGTTCACTTTTCATGTGGCTTGCCAACAGATGGGCAAGTGATTAGCGGTAATGTGTTTGATTAGGATTATTGATTTGTAAATTTTTCTATTCATGAACCTGAGATGATGAACCGTCTTTCGTTTATAATCGCACATGAATAACAACACTTGTCTGGGGAGGACCATTTGTGGACCCAATTTCTAAAACTTAGCTTATCTATGCAATTTTTTGTAGATTTTTACGTATGTTTGCCATTTTGAAAGGTTTAAAATTTTCTCTTAGTTCATCAACTCTGTTGCAAGTTGTATACAAAGTTTACTTTAGTGAAGGAACAAATGAAGTAATACTGTTCACAGGTGGTGAACCTATTGAAGTATGTGATACAAGTTGTCCACCTTTGAGTCTAACCTCGATGAATTTTGCATTTTGTGGTCACCGACTTTTTCAGAATTTTAGATTTCTTAAAAGTTTTTAGTCATTCTCTAGTCTTTTAACTGGTAATAACTGTCATGACTTAATGAGCTATAGTGGCAATGATTCTGAAGATATGCAAAAGTTATTCATATGAATCCAAGACACATTTTTCGTCTTACTGTAATAACTTGTTTGATTTGTGTTCTTGTAGGTATGAGGCGCAATGTAAATGTTTTGATCTATCTCGATGTTAAAAAAGCTTTAGAAGGTATAGTTTTACAAACCATTCATTATCAAAGTTGAGAATTTTCTTTTACATTTGTCATGAACCCAAGCACCTATGATTTCTTGTAATTTTCATTGCAGAGGGAATGAAGTTTTACATTTCAGAGAACAAGGTGATCTTGACTGAAGGTTTTGATGGTGTTATTCCTGTCAAGTACTTTGAGAAAATAGAATCATGGCCCGATAGAAAGCCGATACCTTTCTCAACCTAAATCGGTTGGATGCAATCGTGCCATTTCTCTGTTTCATTTCCGACCCGTTGGAGGATTGTAGCAACAACTAAATGAGATGCTACGATTCTGTTTTTCGTAACATATGTAAAGCCGGTTGTAGTCAGCAATTTTCTTATCAATGGAAATCAAAATTGATGTTTTTGATGTTAGATTGATGTCTTTGTGTCTACACAACTAGAAGACTGCTTTTCTTATGTAATCAAAGTGGAGTGAAGAGACTTATGGAAAGCATCCAGAATCAAGATTTAGGGTTTCTTGTAAAATGGAGACTTATGGACACGGGGTGTGCTGCTGAGGCGTTATCCTAAACAAACGAATAAAGCGCCGTGAGATCATGAAAAGCCAATGAACTATGTTGGAAAACTAGTTTGTAGGGGCTTCTCTGTGGAGAGAAACTCCTCCAAAAATTGATGTATGCCATCATGTGCAGCGAGCACACAGTATTCTTTAGTAAAAGGCGAAAGAATAGTTCGCTTTGTTCCCATCGTGATGGTTTTGCTTCTGTTCCATGTGGGATTTTGAGAAACAACAACAATTATCCAATACCTTAATAGCACACTAACATTTTAGGATGACCCTTTAAACATTTTAAGGTTCTCATCTGAAGTCTTAAGAGGTGGACATCAAAACAACACAGAAGATGAAGAACAAGGTTTCGACGGAGCAAATAATAGGTGACAATTGACTCCAATAAAGGCACATTTGGAATGGATTATGCAAGAAGCACTTCTGGCTATAGACATTTTGCGACAAGTACTTTTATTAGTAGCATGTTAAAAAATTTCTTTAAAATGTGCTTCATGAAAAACACTTGAAAGTGTTTCACGAAGATGTGCTTCACCATAAAACATTTATCCAAAAAGTACTAAAAACTATTTTCATGACCAATAAGTATTTGAATGTCCTTGATAACCATTTCGTTTTTTTATTTTATTTTTAGTTTTGTAGATAGAGGGGACGTAAAGGAAATGAAGTATGAAAAAGAGTGAATGACATATGGTGGGAGAGTTGTAGACAAAACTACCACCAAAAGCTAAACAACATCGACATCTCTTCAGTGCACTCTTATCACTTGATTCTCGTCCAAGACCACCAGAAGCGGATATTAGAGTTGGTTATTGCAACTCACGACACTGTTTCTGAAAAAAGCTTAAAGTTAATAAATGCCTATTAATCCTCTCCTCGTCTTATAAATTGGAGCTCACGACTCTATGCATGTTATTTTATTAACTATAACAATATTGACATAAAGACACAAATGAAAGAATACTAAAGAGCGGGGATGTACTTTAAGCATACAATGGTATGGGTTGGCCAAGTGCTTGACGAAGTGTCTCACCGAAAAACTGCATTTTTTTTTATTTTATATTTTGTTTGGCATTGTGCACACTATTATTGGATGCAATGAGGATAGAGTTCTGCATCCTCATCTACTTAATTGTGCCCCGGTGAACTAACGTTCTAGCTGGGCCCTGCTCTCCCACATCATTTGCCTCGTATCTCAAGCACAAAATTGAAAAGCAAAAACTAAAAACGAAACATAACCTTAAATTTCGAGCAGAACAACGTTAGAATTTGATTGTCCAACCTCCAAAAACAAATCAAACAATCCATGAATCTCTTCTAAACATATTATCCGGCAAAAGAATAGGTAGTGCTCGCATATTGAGTTTCATTTGTAATCGTGCAAGGAATGTTCCTAACATAAAACTTTAAATAACTGAAATTTGTAGGGCTTCTCTTGTGAGAGAAATCCCTTGAAAAAGAGAAATCCCTTGAAAAAATTAACATATGCCACTGAGATCACGAAAATCCGTGACCTCACATTTTCTGGTCGACCAAATTCCACCATCGTTAAGAAACTACCAAATACAACTGCACCGGGGTTGCATTTCTCCGTATGGTGAGTAATTGAGGAATATTAAAAGCATATGTGTCTTTTCATTCTGTGAGAGAAGAGGAAACAAAATCTATGGTCAGCAACATGAAGCAATCGTCGTAATCAGTTTTGAATTTAAGCAAAATGTTTACGAGACTAACTAATGATGTGGTATGTCAAACGGCTTTTGAGAGGAAGTGCAATGGTGGAGAAGGCGGGAGGACGTTTAAGGAGCTTTTGTGGAAGTATGTAGAGTTACTGGGAATAATCAATATCGGGGACTATATATCCCGTGGCTTTCTTGGTTGAGCCATTTCAATGGTTTGGAGGCCAAGATAGACAAAGGTGACTAAGCAGTTTGATGACTTTATAGTTCAAAGACTGGATATCATGACAAATTGAAAGGATTTTGTCGAAGTTTTGCTTGCAATTCAGAAAGAAAACTTGACTCAAGTACAACTTTCAAAACATTACCAGTGGAGACACTAAACATATTAAAGTGTAATCTAATTGGAGACAACGGTAGCCAATTACATTAGGATCATCAAGCTTCAAGTAATCTTGATCGAGAAAAAAAGACAACTTAGTTTTAGACATAAGCGCACGATCAACCAAGTGCATGTAAACAAGCATAGGTTATGAGTAATGATCTTAGCGGTTTTTATCTCAACTTTTAGGTTTCGTTTCACTTTTAGTTTTTATCCTCATAGGGATTTTGAGTGTGATTCCAATAATGTCAAGTAGAAGGAAGAGAAAAGGAAAAAGGAAACTCGATCGTTTTGAGTTGTTTACATTTTGGCAGAGAGAGATATGGTTGAGGCGTCGTGTCCTATGCGGTGCAAATCTTAGGAGGATTTATCATTCAGGACGGGAGATTCTCTTGTGGAATAAGAGATAAAGTGAAGATTGCTCAAACTCAAGTGCAGTTAATGCGGGGATCCCGAAGAGATGCAGATGCAAGGCAACAAGATGAGGAAACAATTCGCATTTGGGTTGCAGAGATTAGAGATACTGCTTATGATTTGGAGGATGTCACAGATTTCTACTTCCATATGCAGAAATAGTAAACCGGTGAAGAGTTGCTGGATTTCAATTGTGATTTTATCATCATATTAAGGTAATATATGAGCAGAAATTTTCTCCACAACGTACTTTAACCTGGTTCCCATATCCTTCTGTAGTCCCGATCATATTCTTTTTTTCCCTACATTCATAAAGTTTTTTAGTGCTTCAAATAAAGTTGTTGGTCAGGATCATGAATCAGTTTAAATTGGAGGCTCCATATACCTCATCTCATCTTAGTGCTTCTTTGATTCTTGCGGATGTCAAACCTGCATCGCTTGGTGTACAAGAAAAGGAGTATGCAGAGAATCTCTTTGAGTTACTCCAAGTTGCTCATCCGAATGGAATCAAAAGGAAATAGAATCTACTTTACGCGTCTCTACTGTTTGGATAGATAGCCTTTCAGATGAAGAATTTAGTGGAAGAATCACATCTACTCTCTTAGAAGCTTGCAGTGCAGATTATCACTTCTATATCATGGTAGTGCAAGAAACACACTGGACTTGTTTAAGCCTCCTTTGGTAGGTTCTTTTTTGTTTAACATTCATTACGGAGGGGATGAAGTTTTGCTCATCGTAGACAACAAGATGATCTTGACTGAAGGTTTCAACAACGTTGTTACAGTCAACTACTTCGAGGAAACAAAATTACGGCCTCACAGAAGCAGGCACCTCTTTGAACATGGATCCGGAGAGGCATGAGCATTCGAGTTTTCCTTTCCCTTTTCGACCCATTCAATGGTTGTTTCAGGTTATTGCGATGTAGTTAGCTATTCCCTTATCTGTGTTCTTGAGGAATCTAAGTTACCAGAAATGTAGTTAATGTGTATTTGCAAAGTTGACAGAAATTAACTATATCGAAGCTTTCGCAAACAGAACCATAACGTCGTACTAAATTGTAGGGCTTCTTTTGTGGGAGAAATCCCTTGAAAAAATTGGCACATGCCACTTCATGCGGTACGCACACGGTATTCTTTAGTAAAAGACGAAAGAATAGTTCACTCCACTCACCGCCCGGCTACTAGGTTTGCAAATTTCAACGATCTCTTCTTTTGTAGGCGCGTTCTCTTCTTTTGTATGTTCCGATGTGGGATTTGCTTTGCTAACTAATGACGTTTAAAGTTGAGATTTGAGGTAGTCGCATTTCTCCATTTAATCACATCACATGCTAAAGGGCATTAGGTTCAACAGCCATATCATTACTACTAGCCAAGTTGAAGGATGAAGAATCACATGACTTCGTGATTCTAACTGAAACCGTTCATATTATAAATTTCTATGTAACTATCATCTCTACAAAAAAAATTAATTAAAACTAAGGTCGTTTAGTCAATTAATTATAGCAAATAGATAGACAATTTGTAATTCATTCAACGAATCCGTCTACCTGTTTTAATACAATTCAGTGACCAAACGATTTCATATTTAATTGATTTTTTTGCAGAGATGATCTTCACAATGATTTATAATATGAACGGTCTTGATCATAAGCATGAAGTTCCGTGAATTAGCTACATAGTGAATTAAGGAGGAACTCAGCTTAATTCATTGAGGAGCCGAGTTAATTCTCAATGTAATATATAGGGGAGGATGAAATTGTTTTGGGAAACTCTCGTAAATTAGGGGCTCTGTGTCAGTACACCCTTTGCACACCCTCAACACGGCCCTTGTACTAGTCACATCATTCGCCTAAATTGTAATATTTACTCTTTTCTTAATTATTTCACATAAAGTTGGCCGGGCAAAGACCATATCATAATGAAGCAAATTTCCACTTTGCTACAATTTATCGCTAAATACTTGATTTTGAGTGCGAAATTCCTTTCTTTGATTAGAAATTGCAACTCTAAATCTTAGTTATAGACAAAAATAAAGAACAACACTACAAAATTTCAAGAAGGCTACATCCTATATAAACTCAAAAAGATTACAACTTATCAAACTTAATTCTAATGTGTTGCGAGACGAATATTATAAAAATGTAAGGGTTATGATCCTAATAGAAAAAGAATCATAACCCTTATCCATCCCACTACAAATCGCTCGTGCATAACATATGAAAAATAGCGTAAAATAAAAATAAACCAAATTGCTAACTAATTAAATTTTTCCAACAAGTCTCGTCAATATCAAGAAGCTTTATTTTATATAGTCATTATAAGAAAAATTAATAGTGTTTCTAGTATCCACGTCACTAAATTTGTTAAACAAAAAGAAGACATTTAGCACTTTCATTATTTCATAGTGCTGATAGAATCGAAAACTTGTGAAAGAGAACTATAGAGTTGAACTGAGATTGTAGGGCTTCTCTTGTACGAGAAATCCCTTTAAAAAAAGGGTAAATCGTTAAAATGGTCTCTGAGATTTGCATAACTCATCACTTTGGTCCCTGAGATTCCAAATCGATAAAAGTGGTTGACTGGTCCGATTGAAAACTTGAAAACTCACCGGAAACTGGGTAAACTTTAAACGTTCATAACTTCTTCAATACTCAACGAAATCAAGTGATTCAAAAATGAAAATCATACTTCTCAACAAGACGAAAAGTTCAAAAATGAAAATCGTACTTCTCAACGAGACGAAAAGTTCAAAAATGAAAATCATACTTCTCAACGAGACGAAGAGTTAGCCATAAAAAAAGGTACCATTATCTTTGTCTCATCAAGAAGTATGATTTTTGTTTTTGAATCACTTGATTTCGTTGAGTATTAAAGAAGTTATGAACATTTAAAGTTTACCCAGTTTCTGTTGAGTATTAAAGAAGTTATGAACGTTTAAAGTTTACCCAGTTTCTGGCGAGTTTTCAATTTTTCACTCCGACCAGTCAACTTTGAAATTATTTACGAAGCCTTGAAAATTGCCCAAACTTCCGACTAAGAGCTCAGGGATCAAAATGATAAGTTATGTAAATCTCAAAGATCATTTTGACTATTTACCCTAAAAACACACAGTATTCTTTAGTAAAAGGCGAATGAATAATTCACTTTGTGCTCACCGTGCCGCTGCGTGCTTTGTCCGTACTGAATGGGTCTGCTTTTATACGCCTTTCTTCTGAGGATTCGTCCCAGTTCCTCGTCGATGTGGATTACTCATTCATTATCAGCAAGTCTGCCATTTGCTTTTGTTTTGTAGTAGCCTGGGTAAGTTCATTGAAATAATTTTTAACTAACAATCAATTAGAGCTTTTTTTTTTCAATTGGTTTGACTGTAATTTTTAAGCTCACGTGTTGGTTTGGTTGATTTTTAGTATCCTTTTGTGCTGTATCTTTTTTTTTTTTATTAACGGATTTTAAATTCTTAATCTAGCATACTCTTACTCATTATTTTACTTAGGGGTAGGCATAAAAAGCGTCAAACCGCAAAACCGCATCGAACCGTATGAAAAAAAACCAAAAAGAACTGTGTTGATCGGAAACGTCAACTTTGAGTCAAAAACCGAACCGAACCGTTTAAACCGATTCCGATTCCGGTTTCAAATGAACAAGAACCGGCCAGAACCGAATCGAACTGTTTTATTAATAATAAATAAATAAATTATATATATATATATATATATATATATATACACACAGGTCATGATATAATAGGTTGACAAATGAGTTTCACCAAGTTGCAAAGCATGGAATCCCATCCCAATTAGGTTTCACTCACTCACAATCAGACAGTCTCACTCACCTCACCCTCCTCACTCACGCAGCCTCACCCCTCTCATATCCCTATTCCCCTATTTCGCACATCCGAGATCCGACCCTCACCACGACCTCTCATCCAAAAATATCAACGATTCCTCAGGCAGCCCACAACCTCAGCTTTTGCAACGGCACTCTTCATCCTCCTTCCTCCATCCTTGGTATTTTCTCTATCTTTCTTATATTTGAAATTGAGATTAGGAATATGGATGGTTGAGTTCCACTGGATTTCCATTCTGTTTTACCTGCACTATATATGTGTGATTAACACTGTCTATTGTCTAATTGAATCCTGTGACTCTTGTCCTGCATTTAGGGACATTTGTATATAGATGGTCTGTAGGGTTCAATAAGGGTGTTTTAAGTTCGTAGATTCTACAGAAATGTCATCGGCTTTAATCTGCCCCCTTTATTTAGGGCCATTTTAAGCTGGAATACTGTCAAAATGGTTTTCTTTGCTTAGTCTTTGGTGTGGGGTAGACTGTAGAGTCTTCACCTTTGAAATTTCAGGAAGTGGAGGTCTTCTTAGGTAAAGATTTTGTATATGAAAAAAACTTCTAGGAATTAGTTGTAGAGTCTTCACCTTCGAAATTTCAGAATTGCCTGGAATCTCTTCTTCTATGTGGTTCAGTTGGTTCAATTGGTTATGTGGTTCAGTTTCTGCGAAAGCTTCAGTTGTAGTAGAATTCAAAATTTTAGGAATAAAAACAATTTACTTTTCTTTAATTCTGTAACATCAAAAGAAATAAACAAGATAAATATATAACAATCATCCACCAGAGTCCCAGACTCACTTATCTATTTGAGGTTCACCTCCTTGAAAGGCATAAACAAAATGCCCCTCTGCTGCCTGTAACAAAAATGTGAAATGTAAGTCATATTGATGAAAGCATGAGGGTGATGAATAACACCCTATCTTAAACTAAAGTTTCAAGAAATAAGATGGAGCACCAGTAAAAGCTCAAGGAAAAACAACACTCTAATTGACAACACTATTGCCTGGGAAAAAATAAAGTGTTTAACTGTGCTGAAATTAGTACTTCATAGCATGTTTACCCCTTCTAACATGATTTGAAGGTTAATTAACAATTTGTTTTTTTTGGTTGCTCTGCAGTGGCACAACTGATGACAAAAATCAAGAATCGATCTTCACTGTGAGGAGAAAATAAGATCTCATTAGTTCATCAATACCAAATCTATGACATGAATTGACCTCAAAGCTTCACTGTGAAACATTATGTGTTAAACCTGCAAGAGATGGATGCTCAACGGGGGTTGGAAGGTTATGGTAGGTTTATCCTTGTTTACTTTTTCCCTTTTTATTTATTATGTTTCATTGTTTTGTTCAATGGTAGTGAATAGACTAGTAAGCTCTTTATGCACTTAATTCCATAATTGTGTTGTCTTGCAATGGATTTATGATGTTCTCTTTCGGGTCAATTTGTTTTTGTATGCAGCTACGCTGAAGACCTTTTAGTGTATGTAAAAGCATTGGAAGACTATCTTCATCGAATTCCTCCTAATAGTTTCTCTAAGGTATAAAATGGTTTAATTGTAGATCTTCTCAGTATGGCCTCTTATCTCTTTTTGGAGTTTCATTTTAGATATATTTGTTACAAATGTTCGTTTATATTATTTTTCACTACAAATATTGTGTCGTGTTTTCTGCTACTATTATCAATAACCACGAGAAAGTAGAATGTAGCTTGTCCTTTAGGCAGTACAACATTTGCCTTGATTGCCTTTAAGTGATTGAGATCCATGCTAATTCAAGTCTTTCATGCTTCTGTTTGGTTGGAATTTTAACATGTTCTATGCTTTTGTTTAGTTTTATGATGTGGGCATGTTGTTCTCTCGTTCTAATCACTCAGTATATTCCTATAATTCAAAATATGTATGTTAGTGACATAGTTTTTGTTTTTTTTTTGTCTATTTTAGGAATAACGAACCAATCAAAATCACATAGTTTTTGTTCTTCTTTTGCATCTGCTTCTTCATCATCACCTTCGTCATTACCGGGTCCAACACCATCACTACCAACTCAAACCCTATCCCAACCACCAACAACACCACAACCCCAACCACCAACTCCACCCCAGGCACAATCACCAACTCAACCAAGTGGTATTCCTCCATTGCCTCCTATTGGGAACAGTAGGCGTAGGGCAAAGGTATGGGACCATTTTGTTGAATATGATGACATAGAAAACATTGTGAAGCCAGATGGGACCAAAGAAACAATAATTAGAAGGAGAGCTAGGTGTAAGCATTGTTCTACTACCTTTGCTGCTAACCCTTCTGGAAATGGTACTTCAACCGTTACAAAACATAT